CTGCTGTAGCTGAACCCAGGACACTGCCCCAGGGCTGGGCTTATCCACATACCCTCCGTAAGTCCCTTATTGCCAGGATATATGGATAAATAATTGATAAATGGTTGATTTATCACATTCATAAACCCTAGATAAGGTTTTACTCTTAGTTACAACACAGGAGATGAGAAGTCTCAATTTTGTTTCTTACTCAATGTGATAACGATGTACTGCTAACATACCTGCTTCAGGCTTTCCAGCTTGGTTTGACGCAGTTCCTCATATCTCCATTTCCAAACATATAATTCATTTTCTATCTTTTCCATTTCTTTTTCCAGAAATGCATTCATTCTGAAAAAGTATTTTACAAGTCAGTATCACATCTTTTTGAAGTTGACAACAAATTACTTTCCACAGATCGAGTTATATTTTGCTGCCTTTGACAACTGTATATCTGTTTTTTAATAAAAACCTGCATTATCATCACATTATTCCAAGAGTTTTACCAAAAATATTAGCTAAAGAGAACAAAGAATCCCAGTAGTATAGAATTAAAATTTAAAAATAAATAACATTTGGGGATAAACTGAAGAAAATTCGGAACTGCCCTTCAGTTAGTGATTCAGATCACCTAATACATGGTGACTTAGGGAAAATCCTGAGAGAAAAGGTATGGTATCAATTTTATGTGGGTACACACAGAATATTATTTTAAACACAGATATATGGGGGAATATATATACTGTGTAGACAGTACTGAAACGTACTTTTGGAACTGCCCTTCAGTTAGTGATTCAGATCACCTAATACACGGTGACTTAGGGAAAATCCTAAGGGAAAAGGTATGGTATAAATTTTATGTGAGTACACACAGAATATTATTTTAAACACAGATATATGGGGGAATATATATACTGTGTAGACAGTACTGAAATGTACTTTACATGTTAAAAAGTATTAAAATATGTATATTTCATGTTTCAAAAATAATTTCTCTTTAAAGAAAATGCTAGCAGAATTTTAGGAAAAATGATTATTTAGCTCAGAGGCACTACACCCTCATTCAGCATTTTCTCTGGTATGTTGAGCATGAAGTCCATTACTACATTCAGGAAAATTATTTAGGATACACAATTCAGAAGGAATGAATGATGATTCCTTGGAGAAAAGTACTGAATTACTGAAAAAATGAACTTTGATATTTACTTTTCTAACCAATTAAATAGTTTCAATCATTCAGGAAATAATGAAAGAAATATGAAGCAGCAGAGGCACTTCAGATGTTCTTGTCTTTGAGACCAATTAAAAACTCTTTTCTGTGTTCACAGTGAACACTATTAGCCAAGTTCCAAAGACAAGAATGAACTTCTCATAATTTCATTTTATAGAATTCCTTAATAATTTCATTTCATATTTCTGTAGTGCATATGTTTCATTTTGCAATTTGTCAACAAAAAATAATTTGGAACACAAAAGTGAAAGAGAAAAATCTTAATTACAAATAAAAGATTTCAAGTTACATTTCTAACATTCCTATGAAAATAAAATCACAGTTTAAAATTCTGTAATATTCCATTGGTGATAAACATCAATGTAGGAACAAAGTCAGGACACTGAAGAAATCTAAAATTTAAAAAACAATAAAACCACATTAGTACTGTTATGCTGGGAGATGAAAATTTTACAATATATAAATTTCGTGGAAATGGAGGGATGAAGAGCTACTATACCAGAAAAGAAAAAAATATTGACATAGTTTAAACAATAATTCTAATCCTGGCAGTTAAAGAACTGCTGTATGCCACAGCAGTTATTTACTATTCTGAGGCTAATGGGATTTATCAACCATTTACTAAAGATATTATTGCCAGGCAGCTTACTATTACTTAAACAAAAGATCAAGATCAGAGCACAGTTAATGGATCTTGTAACCACCTATTTTAACTCCTTATTATCTTATTAAATCACAGAACTGCACAGAATTGTTAAGGTTGAAAGGGACCTCTGAAGGTCATCTGGTCTAACTCCCCTGCTCAGGGAGGGTCATCTAGAACTGTTTGCTCAGGACCATGTCCAGATGGCTTTTGTAATATCTCCAAGCATGCAGGCTCAGCAGCCTCTCTGGACAACCTGTGCCAGAATTCAGTCACCATCACAGAAAAAAAAGTGCTCCTTGATGCTCACAGAGTGCCTTCTGTGTCCATTGCCTAAGTCTACCCATGCAGCCCTAAGCAATTCCTCTTTGATATTGTTAAATACCAGTGTAGTTGCTGGGCTTTTGGCTTTAAAGCAAAGTAACACTTTTAAGTTCAAAAGGGAACAAATTAATGTTTTGAAACTACAAGAGATTTAGGTGAGAACATTGATTCAAAAGCTGACTAAAGATAGCTATTTTAGGAAAATGATTCTTTAAAATGCTCGGCAACTGATAATGTCAATGGGACCTCAAATGTGTATTTGATATGAGCTATGTTTTTAGTAGAGGATTTTGGTGTATGATTTTACCTAACCCTGAAGGTCTTTGATAGTCAAAACATAAGCTTTTTTTTTTTGAGCTCCTTTCTTTTGCAAAGCCTGATCCACAGTTTAAGGGTAACGTAGCAGAGGTCCTCTCAGGGTGAAGAAACAAAACATCTTATGGAGACATTAGTCAGGTAACTAGGGGCAAGTCCAAACGCTGGGTCTGCATGAGCTAACTTGATTCTGGAAAGAATGTGGCCACAGTTTGGGAGTACTGCATGTAAACCAGAGAACCGTGCTGAGAAGTCCTGTGCTGTATGAGTAAGATCATACTGACTGCCAAGGTAACCTTTGGCCTTAGGGCTCAAGTTGTCAATGGTCCAAGCTTGCTTTTGATGCAGCACAGCTGTGTGTCCTTGGCTCAAGTTTGCTGGGAAAATTGCTAAGTTGTGAGGAAGAAGCTATGAGAAAGTACTTAAGTTAGAGCCATGCAAAATAAGAAAAGTAGAAAATGCAAACAGGGGTGAGATTGTTGAGATAGCGATCATTAGCAGCTCCAGGATCCTGGAGTAGTAATCCTGACATGAACAAGTCTAAAACCTAAGAGAAAAACCTAGGAATCTGAAGACGGAAACTCAGCAAAATCAGCTGAATCCACTAATCAGTGGAGACCAGCCCTTTCTGAGCTGGCAGCTGAAAGACTGACCAACGCTCATAGGGTGTCTCAAGAGACTGGTGACTATGTTAATACTTATCCTAGTAACATTATTCCCAGCTATTTATTGTGTGCATTGCCAAAAATAATTGCTTCATACTTTTAAGTTGCCAATATTCTGCTTACAGAACATCTTTGCACACAGGAGATATTACCCAAAGTGATCTAGAGAGGGAGTTGTTATACCAATGCCCTCCATTTTGTGGAAATCACTGCTCTGTGAGCATTTGCTGCTTGTGGTTGGCACTGATGTAGACATGCCCCAGTTCTTGTAAATTTCATGTGCCAGTAAATTTATTACCATATACCACAGTCAGTATATGTCTAGACATAAATGGCAAAATCTATTGAAGTGGTTAAAAAAGTTGAAAAATTATCCTTTTTCTAAAAGGAAAGTTTTATATATGCATGGATGTATACTGAGACTGCTGTTGAAAAATGAAGTACCTAAGACCCTAAATATTTCAATTAGAGGAAAATGAGTATGTGATGCATCAGTCTCAACTCACATATACAAATACCATGACAAGCTGGAAAATTTAGGCATTCTGGGATTTTTGCTTCCACAAAAATCTAAGTCCTTTTTAATGAGAGAGAACATACTTCTGGTGATCTCTTGCAACATGATATTATTGTGTGTTTTCTACAGCTATCCAATTCCTATAACAGAACACAATAAATACTAGTTAGGAATTTAACAGATTTTTGAAATATTTTTGTTTGTTTCTTTACTCAGATTTGTACCATCTACAGGACAATTGTGAAAATAAACCTGACAGGAAAGAAATTATTTATCAGTTTCCCATGACAGACTCTCTGAACTGAAACTCTTGAATGTATTTGCAAAAGAGGGAATGTTTTCTTCTTTTCATTTTCTGTTAAACTTCAGCTGAATTTGAAGTTACAGTCACACAGTGCCTGAAGTCTCCTACTACACCCATCATACATCATATAATGCATGTTTCCTTGGAAAGCCTTTTTGGTGTGATTCACTCTTGCTCAATACTGATCACCTATATGACACAGCGTGGAATTTCTACCAACACAGAGACTCATATTCTAACATGTAATGTGTAATGAACATATAACCTCTTTAGGCCACCAAAATGAACATTTAGTATTTATGTAAAGAAAACTTGATATGATACAATAAGCATACAATAAGTCTGTTATTCTCTATCTGTTACCTGCTTTTGACAGAGACCATATGACAAGTGAAGAGGTTAAGATTAACAGAATTTTGCAGCTGTATTCGATGTACTTTTAATTCAAATCCAGCCTTAGTCAGTGCGCAGTTGGACTCCTTCAACTGGCAGAGTATATGAAAATTTGTTATTATGCACAAAGGACTCCAATAACTAAGCATAATATACGTTAGATACCACTGTATTGATACCACATTTCTAGTAAGTATCCATTTTCTTATTAAATGCATATTCTTAAAAGTTCTGTATGGAGCACTTCTTATTTAAACAACGCAAAAGCTAAGGAAAACAATAAACACACTATGCTGGATTTTCTCTCTAAATTATTATCAAAGCCTTGTAAAAAACAGTTAACAAACCTTAGAAATGAAAAAATATGAACTATAAATTAAAGTATCACCACATCTATTTTAGAAAGTGTCTTTTAAACCTTTATTTTTAATAGAGATTCTCCCAAGTAGGATATATTTTGCACTTACTCTCTTTCCTTCTGTAAGATTTTCTGCATTTCAGCTAATTGCAAATGCAAGACTGAAACGTGTATTAAAACATTGTCTGTTGTCTCAGCTGTACTGTCCAAACTTTTTTTATGTTCCTCCAAATAGGTGCTGGGAACAACATTGGGAAAGTAATCAGGAGGTTTTGGAGTGATTTTTTTGTTGTGATTGCTCTGGTCTTTGATTATATCCTGAGAAAACAAAAATGACATCTGAGAAAAACATAATTGAAGAGAAAATACTCACATAACTTCTGCAGGGACTTCCAAGACTTTTCTAGGCATTTAAGACATGTAGGAGAAAAAGGAAACAAGTAACTTCCTATACATTTGCATATGGATAGAATGTGCAAAAGTCATTATAGTTGGATCACTGTAATTTTGTGATTCTCTCTCACACCTCCTGTAACGACAAGTTTCATATCCAAAATATTTCTAATGCATCTTTACTAAAGAAATTGATTCCAGTTATCATTAGTTAGCTATAACTACATTGAAGACAGAATCCTGGAACTAACAAAATCAGGAATGCAATTTATGCGTACAAATAATATATTGAGAATCTCTATATTAAGAATTCTTGAACTTCTAGTTGAAATCATGTTGAATCAGTTGACAGACTTATACAAGTTTCATAGAAGGAGCAAAGTTAACTGAATAACATACCAATTTGGATCCCATTCAGAAACTAAAAGCACCATAATACCTATTTTGAAGACATACAAGTTTTGCATACAAAACATAAGCAAAGATAACAACAATTAGGAAAAAAACCCATTAAAAATTAAAATACATATTTATTAGGAAGACTGAACATCTCTTATAAACAATATTTATTTTTTAAAATTATTTAAGTTTTATCACTTCTGCCAAAATGTGTTTAAAATCTTAAATGGGTTACCATCAGTGCTATTTCATATCACTCTGTTTTTCTGAGTTTTTAGAAGAATGACTGCAATCTACATCAGAAAATATCAGAAGCTGATGAAAAGATAAGACTGTTTTCCATTCATATATAAAGTTTCTGTTTTCAAGTAGTGCTTTATTTTATACTAAGCAGAAAATGTAACAGTTAAAATGTATTTTGTGTCATTTCCTTCCAGGAATCTTGTTATGGCATGTTTATCTGCCCAAAAATATGAAATCTATGCACTTTTTTTTTGGCTAAATTTCTTCTCATTAATAACACTATGGTGCGGGTTGGTTGTGGGTTTTTTCAGAATTCACAGGAATATAATATCATATATGTGCATTACAGACTGAGTGAAAATTCTGAACATAATACATTCAGGCCTAAGATCCTGAAAATTTCCATTGAACTGAAGTAAAAAATTTCTTATTTCCTACTTCTACAATGACTGCTATCATTCAGAAAAATAACAAGTATAGTTTTTAGGTATTGCTTTCTATGAGGACTACGTAATTCATGCTAAGGCACAGAATTAAAACTGGTAAAACATGAACAAATTGTTCGATTTTGCTGAATATAACTGTTTCTTTTGTATAGAACTAGGAGCTGTAATTAAACCATGCCCATACTTGATTAATTCTGTATAACAACTTAACTGCTCTCCTTACCAAGCAAAAAATCTTGTGAATTTGCAGAAGGATTTGACAAACCTCTTCCCACATTTTAGAAGTTGAATTAAAGGAGAATTGAATTAAATTATTTTATTTTAGAAGCCAAGAACCTATATTGATTTTTTGGAGGTTAAAAAACAAAAAAAGTACACAAAACATCGAGAATTAAGAGAACAGAGGTAATGTTATCTTAAAACATGAGAGTCAGAACAATGCTCTAAATTACTGGATATAACGGTCGGCCTCTGTTACTTATATTTAGCCATAGCTGAAGGGTATGAATTGTTTTCTGTACTTCTCTGTATTAGGAATATTAGGAAAAATAGATGGGTGAGAGAAGTGGTTTTGCTATTCAATGGATCAGTTAGTGTTCTGGTCAAAATCCTCAAAAAATCCTAGAAAATTTCTAGATACACTCTATAAGGTCTCGCTTATTCATGACCTAAACTAATTCCCCATTCTTTACCTTTTTTGTGTCTTCTGTTCCAGGAATCTTGTTAATTTTTCTCAGTTCATTCACAGGTTCTTGTTCCAGAAATGTTAACTGGTTTAGGTCTTTTTTAATATAAGACATTTCTGAGCAACTGAATTCTGTCTTCCAAGCTGTTACATCTTCCAAGTTTTTCTTCTCACTTACTAAATCTTGATTTATTTTTTTAAGCATACTCAGTTCTTTTACAACATTGTCTAATTTGATTCTCAATTGCCTTGCTTCCTCTCTGGCTTTATTTCTTTCTCCTCTAACTTTGCTCCATTTCTCCCTCCAGTTAGCAGTACAATCTGACCACCAGCGCATGGTCTTCTCCATTTGGGCAGCTCTGGCTTTGACTTCTTCCAGTTCCTGAATTTTTACTGTTTCAGAAATTTCCCAATCACTGCTGTAATTGGCATGCATGTATGGATAATGAGATGAATACGGGTAGAAACTTTGAGATGGAGGATTTGAATTACACAGATGGCCACCTGGCTGGCAACCTCCAGCCAATTCATAAGGTTGTCCTGGTTGGGTCTCAAAAACTTGCATTTCTTCCATTAGTTTCTGAACAGAGCCTAAATTCATGTTTTGATTAATCATCTAATTTCACTCCTATAAAAAGACAAAGACAAATAATTTAGCTTCCCTCAATTAAATTATATGAATAACCTTAAACATTAGTTTATCTTACTGCTATAATAAGGAGATAATCTTAATAATGCTGTTGATGTTTTAGAAATATGCTTCATATGCTTAGAAATAGTTATTAAAATATATTTTATGTAATACTTTCTTAGTACAGTATAAACAGACATACCTATTACTTAACAAAGAATTGCTAGCAAAAGAAATGCCATTAAATAATCATAGTGCTGTCAAAATTTTTGAGTCTAGACAAACGAGGCAAAAGCTCTCTTCCTTCAAGACAAGATGAAATTGAATATATCTTTTAAATGTCTAGTAAGAGGGAAGTATTAGTATAAACTGCAACCACAGATTCACTTGCTTTCTTTCCCAAACCATGGAACTTCATACTGAACAAAACTTATCTTATAATTTGCATACATGGGGGGGGGGGGGGGAAATAAAATCACAAAACCCCTGACCTTTGGATTTTCTTTGTTTCATGAGAAAGAGATAAAACATTTTTATAGGGGGCTTTATTTTGCTGTATACATTCCAGAAGTTCTCAATGAAGTATGTTCTTGAAAGGGTAGTACTATCCTATTGTACTGTATAGTGTACCTCATGATGACATGATTCTGCTAATAAATTTTGCTGCATTTCTTTTCACTATGTATCTGCTATTACTTATTTGGCCCAGGGGAAAATCAGTGTCTGAGAAATTGCTTTCCCATCCCAGAGCTGAGAAAATGCTGTTGTGGACAGTCAGTAGAGACTAGTCACTCTTGTTTCCTTCTTGTTTCCTAAAAAGAACCAAAACCTCCAAAAGACTACAAATCTTGCTGTATCAGTAGAAGACTACATTGTCAAGTTAAAAAGAAAAAAAAAAAAAGATGTTCTTATGTTCCAATCTGTAAAAAAATCATGTTAATGTTAGTGTTAACACCTGTGTTTGAAATGTAGAAAGCCAATGCAGTAAACAAATGCTGAAGGGTAGACAGTCTTGGCATTATGATTCAGCCATGTTTCATTTCAGCTGAATAGAACTTCTTACACATTTTGATTCCAGTTTTCCAGCTGTGTTCAAGTTTTCTGTGCTTTCCAGGACATTTATTTGCCATTTGTTAGAATCTTGTGGAGAACTACTGTAGTCAAGTATGGATATGAGAGCAGGAAAAGGACAGAAAAGGACTCCCTTCATGATCATTAGTGTATCACCACCAACCCCCTTCTCGTTGCCTGACCTACTTCCAGAATTTCTATTTGAATAAAGTTCATCCAAAATACAAAGATATTGTCACCCAGAATTTTGTATGAGGCCTAGTAGAGCCAAAATAACACAATATTTAACTTCCACAGTAAGTTGTTAATTTAACTTCTGGTTTGTGATAATGCCTTTGTTTCCTACAGATTTAATTTAAAGCAAACAAAACCAAACCACTGTAAACTTTAAGCATATAATGCAATAGTTGAGCTTTTGGGGTTTTTAAATAGTACAATAACTTTTTCTCACATTTTTTTGTTTCTATCCTAGACTAGTAGATGTTTGCAGAGACATTCATTACTATGTTCAGTAGGTTTTATAAATGGATTTTGCCAGCAGCTTTGCATATTCACTGAAAGATGGCAGAACTTGGGGAGTGTACAGTTTACAAATCTTAAAAGTTGGAGAAATAAGAATGCAAATAATTTTCTTTGTCTGAAACTTCAAAAAACCTGAGAACAAAAATCTTCATGAATCAGAATCATCTGTTGCTGTGGTTTCATGACTTGTTCGAGGTTCGAGTTTACTGCAAACTACTGCCAAAACCAGTGGTCTCATTCACTGGCCATGGATCCTTGACCCCCCAGCACTGTGTGGCTCTAATGGTCTTGAGGCTGTAACACCACTAATCAGATCAAACTTAAAGCTGTAGTAGCCTAGTACGCTTCAAATAGTTTTATGATATGCTGACCTTTGCCTGGACTTTTCATCATGCATAGGTGATCCTAACTCTGCACCTAAAATTCAAAAAATCTGAGAATTAAAATAAATTACCTGTTGTCAGAAAATATTAGTGTTGACTCAGCTCAAGGTAGTAAGGAATAGGAGATATTTGAATGTGCCTTAAATTCCCTATGTGCTTTTCAGAAAATCTAATCAAACCAGCTTTTTAGGAATCCCCTTTAAGACTGTAAGAGGTAGAATAATATCTTACTAGCCAAGAGTTTGTGAACATACAAAGCATGTATGTAGTATAAAAGATTATATTTAAAATGCCATGTTTAACTTTTGTGAGAATATTGTATGCAAGTTAGAAAAGAGAATGCATTTCAGTGAAGACTAGAGCAGACTTGCCCTCCCATGGAGAAAAGGCTTGTGTGGTTTTGCCTGCAAACTTACTTTCTTGGCAAACAACTGTGATGTATCATGCTGATTCATAATGGTGACCCTCGCTGTCAGGTTAGTGAGCCTCTAAGGCCATGGGTGACAAAAGCAAATGAACTGCCACACATCATTGTAATGGCATTTCCAAACTTTTTATTATTATTATGATTTCATATAAAAATACTAGAATGTCTAGACTTAAACATTTTAATGTAAAGTTTAAGTTTCTGCAGGTATTTTCACAAGTATTTTCATTTTATCAGAAGAATAGTAGCTTCTTGTGAGTGTTAAAACATAAGGCTAGTAGAATTAAGGGTAGATATTCTTATGCAGCTAGTTTAATACCAGCTGCATAAGTCTATACCTATGTCTGAAGAGCAACTCAGTTGCTGCAGAGTTGTAGAGCAACTGATTAAAAAAGGCAACAGGTATTCCATTTCAGCTATGAACAACAAAGATTCGTGCTTATATCTATTTTAAAAGAAATAGACTAAAATATTATTCTTGAAAGGAAAAAAGATGTAAAAATAACAAAAATGTACTATTATAAAAGTGCCTCCAATTGTCAGAATCTCACAGTTCCAGATGCTCATGGAGGTATTATTCAAACTCTGTTGGATGAAATTGGTATAAAAAAATGAACTAATTTGATACTCAAACCCTAGAAAATGATCAGACAGTATTAGAAGAAACTGAAGCTAAGGTAACCATAATGACCTGGAAAATGCTTAGAGGAAAGAGTAAAGTAAAAATATGATAATAATAAACACACAGCTCATGCTAAAGCCTGAAATATGCTGGGAGCAGTATGATCAAGTGAAACCAAGAGCAACACATACATAGGACACAGTGAACAGGAAGAGATAAAGGATGCTATCACCTGCAGCCAGCATCTCCTGCATCTTTGCAAAGTAACTGCCTGGCAGTTTATTCGGAATCTGTGAATTCTTGGAAATGCTATAGACCAAACTTCTGAGCTTAAAAATCGAAATATCTCAGCTTACACCTAAAGTTTTTGAAGCAGATCCAACAGCAGCCAGACTTCTAAGGCTTTCGTGTTTGCCAATGTGATACACGGGGCACCCACACCATGATAGGGGAGGAAGAATGAGCACTCTCACCAACAGCTTGGTATTTTGTTCATATATAAGTTATGAATTAGAGAACTTGTGAGTTAGAAAGTTCATGAAATAATGAATTTCTGAATTCACATGTTGGACTAGTATGTACAAAGATGATTCTGCCAGTGTTTGAAATCTTTGTGTACTTTAATAGTTGTTTTTGGGGGGTGAGACTTGTTTCTTTTGGTTTTGGTTGGTTTTTTTAATGAGATCACAAAATGAAATTTAATTTACAGAGCATAAGGTGCTGTAAATTTGAGACATCCAAACAGACCATGACAATGTATGCATATTATTATAATTCCACAGTCTGGGTCTGATCATGGTCTGTGTTAGCAAGTTAAGAAAATTGTTGGCTTAGAACCGAAAATTAAAAGATAATGATTTCAAGACTTTTCAGTGGACAGCAAAAGATCATTCTGTTTATTTTTTCCACAGCTATAAGACAACAATATTAAAACGTATGCTATATTTTTATGTTGTTTCTGTTGTTTCCAAACATCATCTTCTATGCATGTGTCATAACTAAAACCAGCCAAAAAATGTACTGAGGAGACAAACAATGCAAATGATTTACTTCCTGTTACAAGTTATGTGATCATTTTTCCTATTTACACTTCTCTAGCTGCATTCCTTTAAATATCAAAATACCAATACAAACCTAAATTTATTTCCAAACCCCACTCTATTTACTTCTCATGTCCAGTAACTAAAAACACGCTGTGAAAACCATAAAATCTAGTCATGTTTCTAACTTCACAATGAGAAATGTTTGTGGGTTTCTGAGGGCTTTTTTTTTTTTGTGTGTGTGGTTTTGGTTGCTTTTGGGGTTTTTTTCCAATTATGAAATCTGTAAAGTGCCTGAAAGAAATAGGTTTCCCTCATCACTTTGGAAAGTATGGATTCGTTAAGGGTGTCTTTGAGATCATATGAAATCACAGCCATAATTCATTATTGTCCTGACAGATAAAATAAAAATTAGACAACCTCATCTTCCTTCTGTAACCTATCCTCAGCCTGAACTTTTGAAGTGCAAGAGGCAATGTCAGGCTTAATTTCGAAGAAGTTCCTTAATTTTCAAAGGACAGGATTAAAAACTCACTAGTTACCTCATTATTTCCTTCTGGTATAAACACTTTTGCCTTGAAAATAAATAAATACATGTAATCTGAAGAGAGGTTAGAAAATTTCAGAAGCAGTAAAAAGAGTAGGACCAAATTTAAGTAAGCATTTTTTAGTAGATTCTGTGCAAAACTAGAGTCAGATCCCACTTCTGAGTTGATTACTGCTAGATGATGAGAAGAAATAACATGACAGACAGAAAGAAGGTGAAAGAGAGAAACAAGCTTGGTCTTCCATCAAAAAATCCAGAAACGAAGTTTGTCAGCTACTATATCAAGCCTAAAAAGTTCAAAACCAGAAAGCAACTTCAGGAAGATAGCGTTTTGTAAGGAAAATTTCATTTTACTGCCATATAAAATATTGCGACAGACAAGGTG